GAAGCATCATATATTATCATCATAGGCATTCGTAGTCTTAAGTCTGTTTTTAAGATTATAATTTCTTCCGACAGAGCAAAACTTTTGATCCGACCGAGATGAACTCTCACATTTACTGTCTGTTCCCGGCACTGGTTCCCGGGTATCCAAGTGCAGATTAAGGATTTTATGGCATCAGTCTGATAATCAGATAATGTTTGGCTATGGTCGCATTTTCTTGAAAACGTTTCCCCTTTTACTTTACAGCCGGTTTTCCAGTAGGCGAAATTTTTCTTTGTCCGTGTGATTTCTTGGGAACTGATTAGAAAAGACAAAGAAAAAGCCCTGCACTCCGCGGGTATTACTTCAAATTAATATATAGTAGGTTATATTTCAAATTCAAATTTTAGGATTGGATGATTATTGTCCTTGTCACCATGTGACGCACTTTGTTCCACCCCCTCTCTATAGCTCCCCCTCCCAGAGAATAGGCTCCTATCACGTTGTTGAGCCCCTCTGCCCCTAGTTTTAAGCCACGTCGCCCCTGTCATATTGCATTATCGGACAATACACAGGAGCCATTAGGGGGGTAAAACTGAGACGAAATTTGTCAATTTGAGTACACGTTCTGACGTTCAGCAAGAGATTTTTTCATTTCGGTTAGGCCACTGCAGTGGTTTAATCTAGACGCACCAGTTTGCTGTGACGTAACTCGTCCGCCGCATCTCGATTTTGGAAGACTTCAACTGATGAGATATAGTTTCAAGGTATTTGGGAAAATTATGGCTGGAATTCGTGACATCATGCACTTTAGCAGTCAAATGCAATACATCCAAGAGATATATGAAGTCTCATGACTCTCATAGCACCATTCGTGTGACGGTGAGTAAAACAGAAAAGTAATTCAGTAGAAAAAAGATAAACTAATTAAATTTTCACCCATTACTTAGTTTTATATTGGCGCATTATAGTGTAATTTAATAAGACTTTTAAGTTTATAAAGTTGCTTTGACGCCGGTGCGATTTGACGATCCTTCCTGTTTTTAGTTGGCAAAATATTTATATCGGTCATAATAAGGTTGTATTGAGTAAACGAAAGTCATAAGATAGGCTAAAACCTATAAGTTAGAATTTACTGAATTAATTTGAATTTTGAAGTGCAGGACAATCTGAAGGCCAAAATTATGTAGACAATTAGTGATTGACACCCAATCCTCCCCCCCCCCCCTAACAATGTCGAAATCGTTCAATTACTGATCAACATGATGTGTCCTCTGACTCCTCTCTTTTTAATTTTAAAATCAGTTAGCTAGCAACAAAAGCTTGATTTTAAAATACTGCATTGCACTGAATTGCCACTTGTTTTCGCTTGCATAAAAATTAAACACTCAGTCTGTTAGTATTATGTGAGAAGATAATTATAAGAAATTTTGTAACACATGTGAATTAATCTATCGGAATAAGATTAGGTCTATACGCTCAACTTCAGAACTAAGTAAGTTCGGACTGCACCAAAAGTGAAATCTTCTTGATCACTATATATGCTCTGTGGCGGGGGTTATTTATTTAACGGTCAAGTGTTATTCGGTAGATTAGGAATACCGTTGGCATTTTACTATTTTTGTTCTTAATTAATAACTGATTTAGCTAGCCTTGACACAAAGCCTCATCAAAATAACTTCAGGCCAATATGCGTTCCGAAACAAATCAATCTTTGTCAGGGTTTATTTTAACGTGCAGTTCTACACAAAATGTGCAGTTCTAAACCCATTTGTGCAGTTCTTAAAACACCAATGTGCAGTCACCAAACTAACAAAAATAGTCCTATTAAATTAAAACAGTCTTCTCATTTACTCGTTACCCTTGTGGATGCTCCAGAAATGCTGTCATTAATTGAGCATGAAAAATATTAACGTTATCTGGGGGAGGACTCCAGACCCTCCTATTCTCCTCACAAATCACTTACGTGCTGGGGTAATGGAAAAGACGGTAAAATTGGGGCGAGCAAAGCTCCCCAAAAGAGATTAGAGTGGGAGAACCTAATATTCTTTGCTGTCTCAAATGCAAATTTAAGGTTGTTATATATTGAATATCCATGATTTGCAGTTACATGTTTTGAAACAGTTTTTGTGAGTGGTTGGGTAAAACAAATCTTTACCAGAACTTAAGAGCCTCTAGATTCAAATTGTTTTGGGGAACACCCCCTAGCTCCCACACCCAAAATCGAGTTTGTCTGGCCTTTCTTCAATTCTCTCACCCAACCACACCATTATTCTGTCACCTATATGCTGGTAAAAAATCCTTCAGCCCCCCCCTGTCGTTACCTTCGTAACATCCCTATATGTGCAGTTCTAAATTTTTCTTAAAATAAACCCTGACATTTGTATGATTGATCACCTTATGGATAAAGTGGTGTTTATACACCACTCAAAGTGCAGACACATTTGTCTCTATATAATTAGTAGCGCATATAAGAGTGTTTAAACTTTCACTCTTCACTCATAAAAAGTCTTTCACTTATAAATATTATGTCGGTTGATTGCAGAAAATAAGGATGAGATATGCGTTGCATTGCCTTGAATTAATGGCTGCGGAGGGGTCAGATTTAAAGGTAGGGTACAGTCCGTATGTAAACAAAGCCCTGACCACATGAGGAGAGATATACAGAGAGGAAACTCACACTGGATAACCTTAGTTCTGCCTCCTCCGCAATGTCACATATCAGTGACATTTATAGATCAGTGGCTAGGAAAAAACGTTTGCGTTGCATCTTGGGAAGGCGAAAAATATAAATTTAAATTTTTCCTTCGCCTTCCCGTTACTCTCCGCGCGCCCCAAGCGACTGGGGACAAGACCGTGGAAAAACGTCTGCGCATGTTCCAAAGGTTGTCATAAACTCAAAATGGAAGCGAAAAGGAGCGACTTCGATGTTTTGCATAGGCGGCGGAACGAGGGGGGATCCCCTCCCCCAACTATGTTCAGCAACGACATTTTTTACTATAAACGTACGAAAAACCCTAGATCCGCCCCTGAATAATCTCATATTTTTGTCAAATCCCCTCCCTAGTCCCGGCCTCCTACAGGATTTATATTGATAGGTGATCCCCAAACGTCCATATGACGTTTCTCTTGGACAAAATCGATATGTGCGGCTTCTCCTATTTTAGTGGAGTACCGTTCAAAATTCACCAAAAACGTCTTGTGGAAGATTAAAATTAAGCAGGTTCTTTCGAAACATAAAGATAAATTTCTGCAAATGCTTAATTGAAGATATGACTTTTATCTTCTCGTGCTATTATAATAATATTGTTTTCACCACTCGAAGATAAAAGTCATACCTTCGCGCCGACGTCTAATATCCTAATCCTCTATATATTTATAAGTCATAAATAAATGTCTATATAGTTCCATCTTTAGAAAATGCATAATAAGCTAGATTATTACTGTTAGGAAGAAGAACTAAAAGGAAAACATATATATTGGCCATAATAGGCTGTACTTTAAACAGTAGTTTTGACACTTAACAACATAACAAGTTTTCTTGAGGGCCCCCTTCAGTATTGGTTATGACTTATGTATAGAAATGAGAGCATATATGTAATTTTCCGGCAATGCCAATATGCTTTTGCCTCCTAGGAGACTTAAGAGTCTACTGAATTCCTTGATATATATAAGAAAGCGAGTCACTTTACACATGTTCATAACGAAATGTGGAATATCTATTATCTAAATAGCTTAATGGTGCTGGGAGGAATTGATTCGCGTGTTATAAATAGAGCGGCAAAATCGTTGCATGTATTCAATAAATGAACGTTAATGAAAATCTTCATGCAAAATCGCAACACATGAGGCAGCATGCGTAAATAATCCTTCTCGGTGCTCGTATTACCTTACGATTAACTTCCTATAAGGTAGACAACACGGCACCCACTTGTTCCCAATACGGCACCTACTTCCCGCATGCTATTCCAGCAGACAAAAGATTTTAAACCCATAAAAAATTTACTCTCTGTGCATCACAACAAGATCTCAAGGTGACGAAAAGCAGTGGCGAAGCCGGCAGCCCGACAATTTGGTCATGCTATGCAAATTTTAATTTAAATCATTATCATTGTTCGTTTCTTCATAAATTGAATGTCTTTCACGGTGCAAATGTGCATGACCAAATTGTCGGGCTGCCTTCGCCACTGAGGAAAATGAGAACGACCCATGAAATGGACGAAAACGAAATGTTGGTTAGAATCGGATGGCCGGTTGAAAATTATCCTTATAGTCTTAGGCTTAGACCAGGTCAAGGTGATATACGTGTCCTTTCTTTGTGCAGCACTTCACATTTCACGCCTTTTCACGCGTCTTCCCGCACCAAGCACGCCATTTCACTTCTCGGTGAGTATGCCTGTGGGGCATTTTCTACATATCCCATTGTGATCCAGCCAATAACAGAGACAAATTGCGTACTCATTGCGTCACCAACGCAGTTTTGAACTTTTAAAGAGTAGGACTATGCGTTTTAAAAATAGTTTTATATACCTGCATGTGTTAAGATTTGGGATGACCACCCATTTTAATAATCCTAGTTAGTCAGTTAGTTCCTTTTATAAAAAATCTTATTGTTATGTTGTGTTATTGTTCACTCCGTAATTTGATAAGTTGAAGATGTTCTCGAGTGTGTATTTCATAATTTCCATAGTCCATACCCAGCGCAAGCAGAAAGATATTGTCTGCCGCGGCTGGGTCGCGGGTTCAAGATCCAGCCGCGGCAGACAATATCTTTCTGCTTGCGATTGAAAAATTGTACAAAGTTAGTGAAAAATGGAATGTGCGAAAAATTCACCCCCCCCCACGTTTTGGTCGGGAAAAACAAGCTCACACCCCCCCAGCCGTAATACCCAAGTTACGGCCCTGACCCCATTTTCTTGTTGCCACCTCAACACGCTCCCCGCGTGGCCGAGTCCGCGCTGGCCGAATGCAAATTCGTTTCGCTCTCGTGTTCTTTCGTACCACTTTCGTACGTGTTCGGAGAAAGTTCGACTCGCCCCAAAATTAATCCTCGAACTCGATTTTGTTTTTACGATTTTGGAAGAGAAATAATTGTGGGAAAGATTAGCGCCATTAGGATAATAATTCTGTAGGAAAAAGATATTTCAAATCACACAAATCGCGTGGAATTCGGACATCTGCTCTGGGACATCTGAATAATTTATAGTATGTAGTATCAGAAGGTTGTGCATCATGGAACAACACAATGCAGTGCATACTCAAGACAAAATTCATGAATGTGATGTTTGTCAGAAGAGGTTTTCAAAACAATGTATTTTAGAAATACATAAGAGAACACATGCTGGAAACTTGCGTTTTGAATGTGATATTTGCAACAAAAGATTTTCCAAATCTGGTGGGCTTGAAAGGCATAAAAAATCACACACTGGCACTGAAGTCAATATTTTTAATGAATGTGATGTTTGCCAGAAACGATTTTCCAGATTTAGGTATTTGGATGTGCATAAAAGAACGCATACCGGCGAAAAACCATATGAATGTGATGTTTGTCAGAAACGATTTGCACAATCAAGCACTTTGGCTACTCATAAAAGAACACATACTGAAGACAAACATTTTGAATGTGATATTTGCAACAAACGGTTCTCAATATCTGGCTACCTGGCAAAACATAAAAGAACACACAGTGGTGACAAACCTTATGAGTGTGATGTTTGCCAAAAAAGATTCCTCAGACCAGCCAATTTAGCAGTACATAAAAGAACACACACTGGAGACAAACCTTATGAATGTGATCTTTGCAACAAAAGATTTTCAACCTCTAGCAATTTGGCATATCATAAAAAAACACACACAGGAGTCAAACCTTACGAATGTAACCTTTGCCATAAACGATTTTCACGATCAAACTACTTGGCACAACATGTACAAATACATAATGGAGACAAACCTCATGAATGTGATATATGTCAGTTGAGATTTTCAAGATCATACCATTTAGAAAGACATAAAATAACTCACACTGGAAAAAGAGATTATCAGCCTTCTATACACATAGACACATTTTCAACATCAAGTGACTGTACAAAAACAGACACTGCGGAAAAGCCAAATAATGATGACCTCTCTGACTCATTCCCTTTAGAAAGATGTAAAATAGGACATACTGGTGAAAAAGATGATCAGTCTGATGGGAGCATGGATGAGTTAATTTCAACATTAACTAACAAAGTCAGTCCTTCAATGACAGAAGACAAACCAAATATTGATAACCTGTCATGGAACAAGACAGCACAACATCAGCTTAAAAAAGAAAGTCCCAACAAACACCAAGTCCTATGCATATCATGTGGCAAAGATGTTATTGAATCACAAGATATGCTCACAGAAGATGGCATTGAAATAGATCATTCATTTCAATGTAAGTTTTGCCAAGAACCAGAAAGAAGAGAAACAGCTGATATTGGATATGTTTGCTCTCTTTGCAGTATTTGCTTTGATGCTGCCCAAGAACTTGAAAATCATTTAAGTACTCATATCATCACTGACTAGACCATTGTGATTATATCAGAGCATTGAAATTTTGTTCATAAAAAAATGGTATTTCGTTTTGTTATGACAATATATATAGACACAGCCATTCAAAAAGTGGAAATTTTCAGAGAAACTAATCTGCCCTAAAATTGTAAGGTGGAAGTGAAATGGTGTGCAGTGTAGTTTGCAGGCTAGTCAGACCAGACCCTAACCCTGCAGTGGCTTGATCTAATCCACCCCCGGGGGTTGGCCTGCATGTCAGGCTACCCTGAAGTGGACTAGTGATCTGGTGTGACTTTATATACCACCCTCAAGATTAATAGGGTTGGGGTCAGCATTGGGTTGGGTCAATCCAGTCTGACTTTTATACCTGCCTCATTACTGTTTACAACACATGATAGAGCAATAAAGAACATTTACAGATGTCCAAAATATATTTAAAAAGAGTTTTCACCATATGCTCCCTCAGATCCTAAACATGGATCTTACTCACATTGCTGTAATTTAGGAGGAATTTTTCCTTAAATTTTTTCTTGAAACATTAAAAGGTGGTGAGCCCCATGATTGGAACTTATCACCAACGATTATTGTTGGGACAGGATTATTGTGCCGAGCGCACTCAGGTGACTGAGCGCTGTTTCAAATCCTGTTTCAGACAATATGCTTCAAAGTTTTATTTTGTTCAGGTTGATGTAGGTGGATTAGACAAATTTTGGCTATTATAGTATCATGTTGTTTTAGAAAATAAAATCATAAAATCTTGAATGGTCTGGTCAGAGCAATCTGCCTATCAAAATTGCAATATTGTGGGACAATATTGCAATGTTGCTTGCAAGAGACCATCCGGTTTGACTGTAAGTAGAGATGATAACAGACAGCTGCACAGTGTGACAAATTTACATGAACCATACGGATACCTGAAAAAATATGACTGGATGGTCTAAACTGCACAGTTAAATTTGCTGGTTGGTGCCACAAATCTGTGGTTGGTGCAGGTTGGTGGTCGAGTTTGGTGTTTTTGGTTACAAACCAGGTTACAGTTGGGGGTTGGATGTGGGTTAGGATTATGTTTGTTTTTTTGCCTAAAACAACATACAAATGGTCAAAACCCATCTTTTTATTTATTCCATCAACCCACACCCTGCAATTTAGTAAAA